ATGTCTAAATCTAAAGGTTTTTTAAATAATTCGAATTTTATCAAAATCTAATATTATTTTCATGTGTCAAATACTTTAGAATTATTTAAGTTATGTAAACGTAATTCGTAGTTTGGTGTAACAAGAAATCATATTTTATATTTCAATGATAATAAACTTACCATTTTATACAGGGTGTCCACAAATTTAAACCAATCAAATAAGAACTTTAAGTGGCTATAACTTGATTAATTTAAATACAACCCTATATTTTTTAGCTTAACAGAAAATGCAATTTTTAATTACCTATCGAATGGTACTAGGATGTTGATAACTAAGTTTCTGCCTTTTTACAAAATACACCAAATAATGGATCTGTGCACCATTTGGTGTTTTTTTTAAATTAAAAGGTTAAATAACATATCAACCATACCATAAACCCGAGGCAAATTAATTATAACAAATGTTAGAAATGTTGGCAGTCCATTTCCAGGCACTTGTAAATTATTTTTTCAAAACCACTACTAACTCTGGACAACATTTGCGGAGTTACAGTTTTAAAAGCGTCTCTTATGCGTGTTTTCATATCGTGTGAAGTTGTCGGAAGCGTATGGTAGACAATTCCTTTAATGTACCCCCACGAAAATAAATCTAGTGGAGTTCAGTCCGGAGATCTGGGGGGCCAATTTTGAAACCCATTTCTGCCAATCTACCTGTTTTGAAAGTTGGCATTTAAAAATTGCCGAACTTCGCAGTGATAATGAGGCGGAGCTCTATCCAATTAAAGCCACATGTTGGTTCTAATATTGAAAGGGACTTCTTCTAGTAATATTGAGAGATGGTTTATTAGAAACTGGAGAAACATCAAACTATTTAGATGTCCTTCAAAAAATAGGGTCCAATTAAATATTGTCCCAGTATTCGACCCCACACATTAACTGACCACCTAATTTGATTTTTCATGACCCTGTATGTGCGCGGATTCGAATCAAAATAATAATAAAAGTTGTGTCTATTCACGAGACCATTGTTATGAAAAGTACATTCATCACTAAATAACATATTTTCGAAAAACTTTTCATTTTCTGCCACTTTATCTAACACCCACATGCAAAACTCAGTTCGGTTTTCAAAATCATTTCCATCAAGTTCTTGGCAAAGCCGAATTTTATAAGGATAAAAGTTGTACTTTTCGATAATTCTGGAAATACCTGATTGACTAATGTTAGTATTTTTGGATATTAGATTTTGACTAACATTGGGATTTTCGATAACTGATCCAATTACCGTGAAAACATTTTCTTCATCTTCAGTGACAGATTTTCCTGTAACGGGTTTTCTATAATTAACACTCCCAGTTTCCTCAATTTAGTGTAATAAGCGCTTAAAAACTGTTGGCTTAGGATGATTTATTTCAGGAAACTTTTGAGAATAAACTCGAGAAGCCAATAAACCAATTTTTATGACATTCTCCATGGGTTAGATACATTGGAACCTTTATTAGCTATTTTAGAACTACTTATTAGAACCTTTTATAGCTATTAACATACATCAACATTGCATTTCCCGGTAAGTTAAAAAATATGGGGTTGTATTTAAATTAATCAAGTTAGAGCCACTTAAAGTTCTTATTTGATTAGTTTAAATTTGTGGACACCCTGTATAACATGTTAAGTTTATTATCATTGGGATATAAAATAGTATATCTTGTTACACTCCAGTATAAATTACGCTTACATAACTTAAATACTTATTAGATTAGATTTTGATTAAATTCGTATTATTTAAAAAAACCTTAAGATTTAGGTATTATAAACCTTATTAAAATAGACACTTATTTTGTTCAGCGAATCCAAAAATGCAATAATATACAGGACATTCCTTTCAGTCCAGGACAGCAACTTTGGTACCTATAGAGGTTTTTTGACACCCAAAAATATTTTTAAAATGTGCGCTCGGTAAGCGTCGCACAATTCATAAAATAATACTTTTTAAAAATCAAACGGTTTAGCCGCGAACTTCCGTGCCGTATAGCGTGAATAACCCTGTATACAGGGTGTCGCAACCTGTACCCTACAAATGGATGGGACATCATTTGAAGCCAATTTTTTTCATAAATGTTTGTCCAGTATTCATGGACTACATAATGCAAACAACTGATACCTTAATTCTTTACACGGCACTATAGGGATTTAAAAATAAGGTAAAAACCAATGTGGGATTATAGCGCTAATTTCGCAGCCGTTAAAGTGTCAGCTTAAAAAATCCTTCCTAAGAATAAAATTTTTACTACCATTGCGTACTTACAAGTCTTAAAAGAAATTCTAGAATGTATTGCTTGTTTGTCGGCGTATATCACGACGCCCGTTCCATCTCCGCAGCAAAAGTTTCTAAATTAAATTGAGTAACTCTTGTTTTGCGGATAAAATTACAACAGTGCTACTATTCAACAAAAAAGAGTAAGAAAAAAATAAGAGCAATCTTGCACAATTACTAAACCAATAAAACAGTTATATGGTAGCTAACCGGGATTGTCAAAAATTTAAAGAAAGCGGGAGTATTTAATATGATAAGTTATGCATTGTCTTTTGTATGATATGAATCTACATTATATTTACAATATTGTTCACATATTACCATTTATACAGTTCAACATAATATAGATACAGTTATTTCCAGCGGTTCATAAGTATACAAGAAATGTTGTAAAAAATAAAAATATCTTTAAGACAATGGTAGGTCTATGACCAGATTAAAAATCTCCAAATTTAAACAACTTAAAATATTATATTTATATCTGAAAATAACTTTCGGGTTTTCAATTAATGCGATTCATTATTATTTGCAGCTATACATAAATGATCATTAATATCGTGCAAGAAATGTGGACGTACTTCCTACCCAACTTCATACAATAAACTTCATAATCGAAAAAAAATAGTTCTTGTTGAAGTGTAACTTCTTAACAACAAACTGAAATCCAAAATTCAAGTATTATTTGCTTTTGTTTGCTGTTTTGAAAAATTATTATGATGTATTTTTAGTCTATTTCAATATATAAATAACAATAAAATAATAATATAAACAATAAAATGGTAGGAAATTAAAATGCTAATGTAATTTCGTGTTTTCTGTATGATTTTGCATTGGATGAGTTTATCGCGGTTTTAGGTGGTCGCTATATTATACCACCTCCTTAAAACCCTGAAAACTCATCAGCTTCAAGGAATGGCCACAAGCTTCTCTTTCGATGTTCTTGATATTATGTCATCTAATTGTTCAGATGTTTATCCTTTTCTATTAATATCCAATTGGTAACGTTATAATTAATACCTGGTTGAATTTATAGTGAATTTTGGAAATAACGAACTAGTTTGAGGACATTTTCAGGTCACTATTTACCGTCCATTTTTTTTTTTAGTTCTTGTCGGACATTCTGAATGAATGATGAAACTAGCATTTATAGATTCGAAACCAATAGAAAGTTAAAAGCTGTTTCATCATCCAACAACCACATCATCCAAAAACAGAAAATCCTAAAATTATTTCGGACATGCTAAAGCCAATAAAATAAAGCATGTTATAATCTATATCTAACTAAGACTTAAAATATATTTTTATTAAACTACGATATATACTTACCTTTATCGCTGATGTGGTATTTATTTTTAAACGAATTTCTTTTAGGACTAACATGTCCCTTTATAATGGAACATTGGAAGAAAACCTAGATTTATGGAACGAAAATAAACGACCCCTGACAGCGTCTGGTTCCATACAAGCTATAACATTTTACAACTTTGAAGGAAACACTAGCACCTCTCCAGATATGGAGGCATTTATTGCAGGGCCACCATCTGTTTCATCGAGTATTGGCTCTCTGTATGTGGTTTCACCATTAATCAGGCTGCATTTGCTATTTTAACAGTGATGTTTTTAAAGGTTTGCTGACGAATACGCATCTCCATACGACGTGTTGAACGCATCGACAGACCTTTCAGTAGAACTGGTTTTACTGCACCAGCTTTCCCGAGGAACGGTGACTTTACAGTCCAGCGATCCCAGTGATTACCCAATCATAGACGTGAATTATTTCGCTGAGGATGAAGATTTGGAGGTTTTCTATCTCGGAATACAAGAAGCATTGAAACTGGAAAACACAACAGCTTTTCAACGACTTGGGGCCACTGCCATCTATATTGATGTCCCCGTTTGCAATGATGCCTATGATAAACTGTCCAAAGACTGGTGGCTTTGCACCGTGCAGTATTACTCGATTTCGGTGAGCATAATGTTGAGATATACCTATTGAAAGATTGAGTAATTTCTATAATTTGGTCTAATAAGTGTATGAACATAATTTCCATGAATAACAAACAATATATACTTTAAATAATAGGAATGGGTGAGTACACACTGGATGGAATCAAAGAACCGGTCTTTTTGTATTGAAGTGTGTAATTTCTTGTCTTTTTTAAGCCTTCAATGGTACTTGGCCAAATGGGATCAAATGTACCTTTCAAGGCTACCTCTTCTTGAGACTACTTTGCCAATCATTTAACACGTAATTTGGTTTTGATTTATAAATCATTGGGTGCCAAATCAAAATTTGAAGAAATACTCGAAAAATGCGCGTCGCTCGCGCTTCTGTCGCGGTATGACTGTGTTGACATCGCGTTATGTCTAGACCCGGCATAATGTGAGTGCAATTTATCACGACTTTAACAAAAAGAAATCAACTCCTTTACAATATTTATCCCAGATTTCAGATATTGCGGGGTAATTCAGCATTTTTCACACATTGCTGCTATATTTCAACAATACTTAGAGCCTTCTAGAAAAATTATATTTTAATTATTTTTTCGTAACTTATGTAGACTCTTCATCCGGTGGGTACAACCGCTATGGGAACAAATACATCTACCTCTGTAGTGAGTTCCGAGCTAAAAGTGCATGGAATCGATCAACTAAGAGTGGTCGACGCTGGAATTATGCCGACCACAGTGTCTGGACATACAACGGCCGCTGTAGTCATGATAGCTGAAAAGGCTGCTGATTTAATTAAGGCAGACTATGGCTATGTTAACAATACGGCAATTTAATTTCAATAAACTGGAATGTATAATCTATTCAATAAAGCTAAATCGATTCAACAAATTATCATTATTGCCTAGTACTTTTT